CTTAGAGGTGATTTTGACTTTGCCACATGGTATCACCGTGTACTGTGATAACAATGGAGCAGTAGCAAACTCAAAAGAACCATGAGCCCACAGACCAAGCAAACAAATAGAGCGCAAGTACCATCTGATTCGAGAGATAGTTGGTATAGGAAACATTGATGTTGCCAAGATTGTATTTGAGGACAACCTAGCTGATCCTTTCACGAAAAGTTTGCTGGAGAAGGTCTTCGTCAAACACGTGATAGGAATAGGAGTCAAGTGCATGGCAATAAGATCGACCTAGGACTTTTAGAATAATAGAATGATAGGACTGTACTTGTAAAAGAGAAAGCTTTAAGTATAAGTGGGAGATTGTTAGTGTTATATACTAAAAGCTTGGCTTTGGATGATATTACACTTTTACCCTTTATGAATGAGAAACATATTAGATTAAACAAGTTCTACGTTCTGTTGTTTTACATTAGATAGTATGGGATGTCATCGGGCGAACCGAAGATCATACTATCAGTTACTCGTGAAACAAGAATAAGTGGTTCACAACCCATATGGACATAAACACCCCATCGTTAACGGTTGTAGTGTCAACCCTACAGTTTGTCTTGACTGGTTAGTTGCACTAGTACATTTATTTATTGAACATGACCCAGAGAGGAGCAGTTCGTTTTATACTGATCATCGTAAACGAACTAGGCCTCGGTTAATTAATGTGTGCTCTTAACCCGTAAGATATTAAACATGCATATATGTGTAGTACTTATTACTTTGATTCACATGGGTGAGGCTTAGTGAAGTGGGCCAATAGACCCGCTGTCTTGGGTAATATTGCTGCATGTAGGATGTGGTGTTAGGATATTTACAGTCACCATGTGCGCTAGTTTGATATGTCCCCGGAGTAAGTTCATGAAGGATTATTATGCTAAACCCTGCTGGTGGATTTAATTCCAGCATAGTAATAATGTGATGAACGAGCGCTAGTTTCGGTGAAATAATAATAAATTAATTAATTCGTGATTATCAGTAATCGAATTAATTAATGGACATTATATCTTAAACAGTGGGAGATAAATCAAGTAACTATTATTGGAGTCTCAATTGTAAATTAGGCTAGGAAAAGATAGTGCAATAATATTATGTTGGTGGCCCATTTATTATTATTTAATTAATTAAAATAATTGGTTTGGTCCACAAATATTTTAATTAATTAAGGAGCCCTTCTCCTAATCTCCTAAGGGTCCCTACTATAGCTCTATATATACATCATTAAGCTCATTTTCATAAATCACGTTATACACGCCACCCATCATCTTCTATCTCTCAGTTCCCATTCGAGCTTTATCTTCTTCTTGTTTTTCCACCGGTACAATATTAAGAGGTGTTTGTGATATACAGTAGAAGATCTGTAGGTAAACCGAGACGAAATATATTTTAGCGTACAGAACTAACCGGAGGTCCGATCAAGGCGTGAAGCATACCCAGACGGCCGTCTCGACGAAAGCTTTCCATCACCGTAGAGATCGCCACCTTTCGATGTTGCACGCATCCTCACGCACCACCGGAAGGTCCCAGGACTGCAAGGTTGTTTTCATCCGTTTTGCACCTGTTTGATCCGGTTTTTTATCCGATCTTGTTCGTGCAACCCTAAGACATGATTTGCAGTCAATTACTCATTGGTGTGCTGTGCACGACCATCTAGAAGATCAGCCAGATCGCCATAAATTTTAAGCCGTAAGTTTTCTACGTAAAACCCTTAGATCCGCTGCGCATAGGTTTATGTTTATCTATTGAATTCGTGATTTGTACATAATGAGATTGATATAGCCATACTGTCATATAACGGTTCAATACCATCGCGGTTCAGAGATTATCGAGTCGACTTACACGAAGTCGACTCTGTCCGCAGATTCTTTATGGTATCTCCGGTTAAGGGTCCAGGCATTTCCCTCAGTCGACTTCCACATGTCGACTAGCATAAGTGGAGTTCCTCGGGGAAGACGGTCAAGCGCGTCAGGATCTACTAACCATTAAATATGACCCAGTCGACTCGAGTTGATATCCCGTGTCGACTGAGGAAGTCTTGAAGCTCATAGATCTCGACGGCTCCAGTACACTTCAACATATCGAAGAAAGGTTGTTAAGGATAAGAAGGGAGCTATCAAAGGTAAGGAAGAATCTAGATGTTGACTAGGAGGTGGACGGAATGCGAACCGACCAGGGTATTTTGGACATTTCCAGTAAGTCGGCCAGGGCATTTTGGGGACTTCAGGTAAATGTTTTACTTCTATATAAAGG